GGGAAGGGTCCTGAGGGCTTTCCCCAGTTTCGCGCACCCGCCCCTTTCAGCAATTATTTAATTTTGCGCGAAACTGCACATTTTCCGAAATAATTATTTATTTTTGCGCGATGATATCGTGAAGGTACGGTATCTAGTTGACCAGGACTAGTACAAGCAGCAGTGTGCCACGCAGCGCCCGTGTGAGGACGAGGCTACCGCGCTTCTGTCCCTTCCCTTATGGCTTGGGTGTATGAGACCGCAAGCTAGGGCTGTGTGACCTAATGCGGCGCCCTACCGTATGCGTACGGTATTATTGTTGTATCTGTTTAGGATCGAGATGCGGAAGCAAGCGGAAGTGAACTATCGAGAAGTAACGCAAGCGGAAGCGTGTATGGCATAGGTTATGACCTATTTGTTTTAGGCTATGATGCCGGCTAGGAACTGCAGCCTGACGGCACCGCCCACCTGTACCTCCTTAGAGGGTTGCTGACCCGCCAGACCCTTGCCGAGGTGGACTGAGAAGGGTGTCAGACCTGGGCTGGAGAGGGTGTGCATAACCACTGGGGTATAGGCTTGGCCAGGGGGTTAGTGTATGATGAGTCCGAGGGTAGGAGAAGAGACCTATGCAAGTAAACCCTATTGTGTACGACTGACGAGTCGTACCAGGTGTACGGGCCGTTATGGGTCGTTGACCAATAGAATGTACGGCTAACTAAAGACTTAGCAAAACCGTTACGGTTGCAGGCGTTCAGCACAACAACCTAACTGCTGTGCAAGTGTAAGCTGCTATGTACGGCGGACGAGTCGTATCGAGACAAACCGTTGCTGTTGGGTAACTAACTTGCTAACCACCTAACCGCTGATGGTTAGCGTCAAAGTGCGCACTCAAGCCAGCTCAAGCACTAGTAAGGCCCGCCTTCGGCGGGAGCTACCCGTAGCTCGCTGGAGAGAGCTGGACTACGAGTTGGCAGTGATTGTCGCCGAGGCTGCTAGCAATTGAACGGTTAGGAAGCGCGAAAGGCTTGATGACGCCGCGGAAACGTGCAGGATATCAATGCATACAGGTAGTGGAGTGCGAAGACCTGCCCTACCTGCCCGAATACTGGTGCTCATACATACATGCGTATGCGCGCATGCCGTGCCGTGCCTTGTCGGAATATGTCGAAATACTGGTACTGATACTGGCACCTGTGCGTTAGTATAGGGTACTGACCCTACTACCACTGCACTACTACACATCTTCCCGTCGTCACCACTCGCCCACGTAGCAACCATCCGTCCGGGCATCTTTCCGCAGTAGCTATAATCAGTACAGTTACGCAGCTCAGTTGCTAATGAAAGCATCCGCACGTGCACCCTGCCTCCCTGCCAGACCAGCTGCGACATGCAAAGTAGCAGTCCCGCCGTGCCGAAGTACGGGCGCACTTGCACCCGTCAACCCCGTCCGAGTCATGACATCGTCTCCGCCTTGTCCAGCTACCGGCGCATGTATGCTTCCACACGTCCTGCCAGAAGCTCGGCGCGCCCATGCAGTCCCCGCACTGGCCCATCAACGAGCATGTATGCAAGCAGGCATGCCCTGCCCCACGCGCCCGGTGCCTATGCGCGCAGACATCCTCTCGTACTGACGGAAATTGGCGCCCAGGCGCGCAAGCACCACCACCCTCCCCAAGCGCCTGCACCCAGGCATCCCCGTCGAACCCACCCATGCGCCAACGCTGCTGCGTGAGTGCATATCGACCCGGCAATAACACCCGGCCCATAAATCGGCACAGATACATGCATATATACCCGCCATGCCCAACTACTGGCGGCCACGCGGGTACGCACATCAACTGCACCGTGCCCATTTACGACCGTGCCCAATGATGTACGCATGCATCCCCGCCCTGCTCAAGTAGCTGTAGCTTATCCTACACAGCCAGGCGTGGGAAACTCGAGGAACAGGAGGAGGCACGGGCCGCGCAGGGAAGGGCCTGGGAAGAATACTAATTGTCTTGGAAAGCAACATATTTACACTCGTTCTATGCTTAACGACGGGATGTGGCGTACACGCACGCAACACGCTGGCCCAACCTGCCGTGTCAGTTATCGGCGCCCACATGCGCATGCATCCCCACCCTTTCAAGCTGTCAGTGCTCAAGCGTGCAGACGTCCTCTCGTCCTGCCATGAACCGGCACCCATGAGCCCGAGCATTACTGCAGCTCCCAACCACCTTCACCCAACAATGCATCAACGCTGATACGAGAATGCATGCACACCCGGCCCATGCGTTGATGCGATACAGGCATGCATACCCGCCATGCCCAAGTACAGGCGCCCATGCTTGTACGCACACTAACCGTGCCCAACGACCGCGCTGATTTAAACGCATGGATCCCATGTACAAAACAATCATGCGCGCACGCAGACACCTCCTGTCCAAGTCAATTACCCGAAGCCATGAGACCAGCGGCCCACCCTGCTCATAAGCTGGCGCATATGCGTGCAGGAGTGACTGCATTTGGAGGCAGGAACTTCGTGGGAAGGGCAGAGAGGCCTCACTCGGGGCGCAGCACGGGGGAAGGGCAGTGGGAGGTAGGTGCCGCCCGGGGAAGAGTCATTTAGCGGCCATTGTAGCGGTCAGTTATTCGTTGCTAATCTCGAAGGAAGGGCAATGATGACGGGGAAGGGCATTGGAAGGTAAGCAGAGCACGGGGAGAGGCAGGGAAGCCGCAGGGGAGCCACACGGGGAGAGGCACGCTGCTGAACCACCGGCGCTCAGACGTCCTGCCCAAAGCCCGGCGCGCCAATGCAGTCCCCGCACTGGCGAACAACAAGGGTGCATGCGAGCAGGCACATACATGCATGCACTCCGGATCTGCGGGGGGATACCCGAGGCCCCATCTGCCCCCCGCTAGAGCTAGATAGTGCTCCTGCCGCCGCTGCTGCACAGGCCAACGCCCCGTCATCAAGCCCGGATGCCGTATGCAAAGCCTAGCGACGCGGCAGGCCATAAATGTGCGGGACAAATCCCCACGCGTATTGTTGTATATCCTTCACTGCAGTCTCCAGGGCCGCCTGTCCTCGATATCAACGCTTCTCATCACGTATCTGCCTTCCCCACCTCCAGGCTTCCTAGTTCCTCCTTGGATCACTGCTAGGCAACAGTGTGCATGACACGCTCATGCACGGAGGCATGCACCATTAAAATACCAAAGTAAAGGTCCCCAGTGCATGCTGCGGTCGCCTTGTCCAATATTTGCCGCCCATGCATGCAGCGATGCAGGCAACTCTTGTTCTCTTCCCAGTTAGTTACTGGCGCCCACATGCATTAAGGCCTCTCCCGGCTATCGGCACCATTGCGTGCAAGCATCACCACCCTCCCCAGGGACCTGCGAAAGGGCCTGAGCGATGCCGATAATCCAGACGAACCAATGATGGCTGATCTGCCGACGCGACACACCTTGGACCGCCGGGTAAGATGGGCGACTGCTGTAAGCAAAGCTGGCAATACCCGCATGGGAGGCTGACGACCCCAAGGCCGGTAATGCGCTGCGGGAGAGAGCGCCGGAAGGCATGCCGACCGTTAAGCCGAGGTTATGTGCTGCGGGCAGACAAGCTGCCCCCTTAATAGTCATGCACTTCGCCGCACGAGAGGCCGCCATGCCCTCTGCTGGGCCGGGGTTTCGCTGCTGGAAGGCACGCTAACCACTGCCATGGAGGGAAAAAGCTGCGGACAGGAAATGCGCATCAGGGGTAACGCTGCATGCTCCCTGCAAGGCCAGTAATGAGCTGCAGGACAGCACACAGCCCGCTGGCACTGCGCTGCGAAGGAGAAGCTGTCACTGCCAGGCCGGCAATGCCCTGACGCCGCCTGCTGCTAGGACGGTAACGCGCCACCTGCTTCGCTACGGGAGAGAAACACATGTTGTGAGGGGAAGGGCGGCCGCACAGGGAAGGGCATAGAGGGGTAGGTACCGCGTGGGGACGGGCGGACGCGCAGGGAAGGGCAGGCGCAGCACGGGTAAGAGCAAGGGTAGGCAGGCGCCTCACGGAAAGGACGGGCGTTCAGGGAAGGGCAGGGGGAAAGCACTGGGGGCCGCAGGGAAGCTCGTACAGGGAAAGGCATAGGTCGGCCGGCACCGCATGGGGATGGGCAAGGAGCTGCAAGGGGAAGGGTGGAAGGCACCGCACGTGCGAGGACAGACTGCGCAGCACGGGGAAGGAAGGGCGAGTCAGGCTCCGCACGAGGAACGACCCAGAGGCAGCCACGTTTCGATGATCTGCTATTTGTTAAGAACCTGCGAAGGCCGGCACGTCATCGAAGGACGAAGGATTACGTTGCCAACACCCCCACCGCCGTCCAGCTTCCTGTCGAAGCGCCACTGTTAGTTCCGTGGTCTGCTATGTCCTAGATGTGACGACTCTAGTAGCTAGCGCACCCTAATACCGGTAGACTTTTTACTGGCTGCCATCGCGCATCTTCCTACGCCCAGCAACAGCTTGCTACAATGAATTGTTCGCTGTGTTTGCTTGTTAAAATATGCAGACAATAATAAAGTGCCATCGTCGGACGTAATTGGCGCCTGCAAGCCACAACTAGTGAGGGCCGCGATACTTAACTCCCTGCCGAAACAATAGCGCGAAAACTGCTGGACGTCATTAGCGCTGCACGGGAAGCTGAACGTTTAGCTCTCGGCCGTTCGGAAGCGGTTGAAAGTCTGTTAGTACAGAATATTGTCCCTCCCTGGAGCGTTACGCGGAATGCCTATGCTTCCCTACGCTTCGCTCCTCCGAAACCGTATACTACGTATACGTTTCTTCGTTTCGAGCTACGGGGACGGTATTTCAGCGAAGGATTCAAGACACAGGCTCAGGAATGCCAATGCGGAACCTATCTAAGGCTGGATCGGCAAAACACGAGGCTGCAGGTGGTAAGCGATGGTATTCCGGTATATAACTGATAGTAATGAACCGTACAACTGCCCAGGCAGGGCAGTGCTTGCTTGACGTCCAGACGCAAAAGGTCCTTCCAGTCTCCACGCGTGTACCTTACATGGGGATGAGTCCGAGTCCAAGACCAGTTATTGGAGGCTTAGTCCAGAAAGAGGGTTATGGCTACCCAAACCGACCCCAGCCGGCACTTAGGCCACTTTCAGCTGTAAAATGTCCAGATACAAGAAAACTACGCCCTTATATAATCATTCCAAACCCCGGTGAGCCCAAAACCGGCCACCGTAGACCACAACCGACCAACAAGCTGTTACCCCGCTGAGAAGCAGGAAAACACGCTCAGCTTCCTGGCCCCGCTGACCCAAAACCGCCAACCGACCCATGGGACGACAGCGTCAAACCCGCCCCATGCCAGGTCGTCTGTTCAAGCCCCACCTCAAGCAACGCCGGCATGTGAAAAACCATGCCGCAAACAAACCCGTAGCCTCGAATAAGCGGGACCACAGCTACAAACTCATTCGCCGACAAATGGGTAAACACACAAAAGTGTAAACCCAACCTATCATGCCACAGGGCCACGTCCTGGCAGAGGGACACAACAACATCAACAGGATTATCTACACACAACGGAAGTTAGTAAAACAAGCGAGTGCAGCCGGTAAACAGACTGGGACCACAGTTGCCGTACATACCACGCAAGCACCGATACCATGCGTCCTGCTGTAAGCACTCCTGGCAGGTTCTTCGTTCGCAATAAGTGGCATTCCTTATCTCCGTCTCGTCAGGACTTCCTCGACTACGAAAGAAAAGTCAGCACTTGTACAAGACCCGTTTTTGATGAGCATGGACGCTATGCCAACAAAAATGTGCAAATAAGCAATTATGTGAACGAGTGACCGTTACAATGGTAGCATAAAAGACAACACGGGTGATGATCCCAACCCTACACTGCAAGAGGAACGCAACACGCCGGAAAGACAACACCACAACAGGAAACAGGCATGATGAGCAGCAACCACAACAGAGGGAAAGAACGAGGGTAGAAGCCAAAAAAACGGCCCGTCACCGTCACCGTCGGACCGCAAGCTCGTGGCACGGTGCGTGACCCCTTAAACCCCCGGAACCCCTATGACCCCTGTAAGCTACGAAGGGTGCCCTAAAAGGGAACACAGGTGATGAACCCAACCCTACATTGCAAAAGAAACGGAACAAACCGTAAAAACAGCATAACTGCAGATGTCAGAATCGCGAGTGCGAGGACTTACAACCCCTGCGTGGCCACAACAACTGCAACCCCAACTCAGGAACCCCTACGACCCCGTTGATGATCAACAACCGACAACGGTCTTTCATTCATTTTTCAGTATGAATGACCGTATGATGAATGAATGACCGTTAGTTCAATCAAGTAAAGGTTGCGGTTCGATATGGGCAACGCCGTACGTGGGGAATGACACCCTTAGTTGCGTGCTCGCCGCCACGAATTACAGAATACACACATGCTGTTTCCCCGCCCTCTTACGAGAGTTGCAGCCCAACTGCTGCCAGGTGCGGCAGGAGTGACTTATCGGAAACGGTTACACCGTTGACGTTAATCCGTACAGCAACCACAACCGCTGTGTTGAAATCATCAACTGATGTCATCGCAGTGCCAGCATCCGACGGTTGCAGGGTAGTGGCTGCTGTTGCAGCAGATATGGCAAAGTAGTTGAGTCCCGGACACGTCAGCTGCTGGCCTGTACCGCCTCTGTACAGGGTCACCCACTGGGTTGTGGTACGGACGGTGATGACGCAGCAGGGAACGAAGCAAAAGGGACGAGGGTTGCTTGTCAAAAGGGGGCGGGGCGGGGAAGTGAAACAATTCGCAGCAAAGGAAGGACCATCTCTGGTACAACCCATTCACATCCGCTGCACACAACCCCTATGTTGCATACAGGCCACCCCTTCCCTCCCTCCCCACAGCAGGAACCTTCCATCCAGCTCGCTACCCCTTACGACATGCTCCCCACCTCCCTTCCTCCCCTTCCTCACCCCTCCCTCAACCCGCACACATTTACCTTCCAAGCAAGTCAACCCCTTCCCCGACCCTACCCCGGGTACCTGCCACCCCTCCTTCCCTCGCCCCCACCCCGGGTACGATACCTTCCAACCCTCGCTCCTTCCCTGACCCCCACCCCAGGTACTGTGTTTGCAATCAGCCCTGCTTCCCACCTGCTCATAGCTGCTGCTGTTGTTAGCACTACCGGTCACCACCCCTTGCTTCCGGAGCAGCAGGTCGATGGAGGCAATGGCGGGGTTGAGGGTGCCCTTGTTGGTGACATACAGCGCCACTGACGCCACCTGACTGCCCCGGGCAGCGGGGGTCTGGTTGAAGTAGGCCACCACGTAGCGGGGGGCCTGGATGGGGGCGGGACTGGAGTATTAGTGACGGTTACGGAGGTTGGGCACGGATGGATGCAACTACGTACCGTAGTAATGTATGGGAGCGGGATATGATGAAGCATGCTACCTATCTATTGACTTACCGCTTTCGTTGGCACCCAGCTGGCGCCAGATGCTGGTTTGCAGGCCTTGGGGGGGAACCTGAACTTAAGCTCGGGAGCCCCGACGATGAGGGATGCAGAGCCAGCTTTCTCAAGCTGCTGGGACTGAGGGCGCGGCCACATACATGCATGGCAAGTAGTACCAAAAGTGGTCGTCAGTGCCTTTAATGCAAGAAGAGTATTGGTATTTTTGGTAATAACCACCTAAACTGCCAGACTGTATTGGTCAGCAACTGCTGAAAATGTCACCATGCACGCACCTGCGGTTGCCCAATCAACCGGTTCTACCTTACTGGCGCTACCCAACATACCCAACATACCCAACAAACCCAACAGTCACACTTACAGCAGTATTGGGGCCTGAGGCGGCGGTAGCCCAGTACATGACTGGAGGTGGTGGTGGTGGTGAGGGGTGTGGAGGCGAGGGTGGTTGAGGTGGCGGCGGTGATGGGGAAAATAAGGGTGGGGGAGGCGAGGGCAGTCGGGGTGATGGTGGCGGAGGTGAGGGGGGTGGAGGTGATGGTGGCAGGGGAGTGGGAGGCAGTGGTGATTGGGGTGGGGGTGAGACAGCAGGTGTCAGAGGTGACGGAGAAGGAGGCGGGCTGTGTATTGGGGACGGCGGGGTTGAAGGAGGCTCGGGTGAGGGTGGCTTGCTGGGGGGCTGTGGGCTGCGTGGGGATTGTGGTGAAGGGGTGGAGGGACGGGGTTGCTGTGGCAGGCTAGGGGGTGGAGGGCTGGGTGGCTGGTGGGGAGGGGGAGAAGGACTGCGAGTCACTCGAGGCGGAGGTGGTGGGGGTGGCGGGTTAGGAGACGGTGGAGAAGGTGGAGGCGAGGGTGGAGGAGAAGGTGGAGGGGAGGGTGGAGGAGAAGGTGGAGGGGAGGGTGGAGGAGAAGGTGGAGGCGAGGGTGGAGGAGAAGGTGGAGGGGAGGGTGGAGGAGAAGGTGGAGGGGAGGGTGGAGGAGAAGGTGGAGGCGAGGGTGGAGGAGAAGGTGGAGGGGAGGGTGGAGGAGAAGGTGGAGGGGAGGGTGGAGGAGAAGGTGGAGGGGAGGGTGGAGGAGAAGGTGGAGGGGAGGGTGGGGGAGAAGGTGGAGGCGAAGGTGAAGGAGAAGGTGGAGGGGAGGGTGGAGGAGAAGGTGGTGTTGGAAGAATAACAGCTGAATTGAAACTGCAGGTCACTGTGCAGGAAAAGTGTATGAAAGGGGTAGGCACAACGGATGAAAGTTAAGAACAGCATGGTATAAGCTTGCTGTGTCCAGAAACTGCCCCAGCAAACATGTAGGACTACATGGCTTCACCACGTTTACCACGATATTCAGAGGCTGTCGTACTTGCCATTGGTCTCTGGTTTAGGACCAGCTTTATACACCCAAGTCCGACTGAACGTACCTTCGCCTGCGCTGTAGGTCAATACGAAATGGTTCAAAACTCCGCTTTCGTAGTTGTGCCCGGATAGATCAAAAGCCCAACAACGACTGTCATCCGAGCATGCTTTGTAAATTCTGTCCAAGTAGGCAGGATCGTTTTCTCCGTCGTTCCTCGTGACGACTCGATAGCTCCATCTGCGCAATCTCATATTTATCTGGTCATCACAAGCTCAATACAGTTAGAAAGCAACAATAGTCCACTTACATCAGGGAGTTGACGGTAGAGTCCGTATGACATTCGTAATATGGATACATCGGTATAACTGCGGGCAAGCGCGATGGGAGTAACATGCCATAACCAGGGCCAACAATTTAAGTTGGCGTGCGCCTTTGTGCCACACACCACAGAGGACGATAAAAGGAGCTTCAGAAGAGGCTTACAGTCCGTTGATAGGGAGACTCCCAACAGTGAAGCCCTGGACATGCATAGTTGCAAGAAACGAAATAAGACACGAGCTTGAATTGCATTGTATACAGAACATTCTTACAGAAGGAGATAATAAATGGGTGTTGCTGCAGCCCGCCGCCGCATTTCTCTGACAGGACGCATCATGCCGCCGCAAGCTCCTCCGACAGGGCGCTCACGCCTCAAGCCTCCTCTGACAGGGCGCTCACGCCTCAAGCTAATAAGAACAATAACAGTAATAGCTCCGCCGGGCAAGCCCTGACGTGTATCAAGGGGTTAAGGCAAAACGACTTGTTACTCCCTGGATGCCAGCACCAATCCTACTTCTCACGCCTCAAGCTATGTTCCTGGTGCTGTTAAATACTACCCGTTTGATGGGTAAAGTGAGCGCGCTTATATGCAAGTAACCGCCGCTGCTGGCGGGCCTCAGATGGGCCCGATGGACGAGCAAATACGAGCGGCCTAGATCGTTCACCCCAAATAGACAACCAAATCACTAGCTGAAAAGCGAGTTACAAGCGTTAGGATAGGCTCTGTTAGTAGACGTAAACAATTTCGCAAGAGCTTCGTGGTACAATGGACAGTGGTTCCGTCGGGGGGTCTCCTTTATTAATGCCGCATTAGCAGGCTATACACCTAATCTGCCATACCGTTGCAATTGACTACAGGCAATGCTTATACGATTGACTTCCTAGTGTGTCCTGTTATCGGTTGTTGAAAGAGTGGCAGCTCGCGCTTATTGCGCGACCCTCCTACTCCCTGCACCCATTTTTGGGTTGCAATGATTAAACAGCGCTGGGCGTTACTTGCCCAGTGGCTGCGTACCTGACCACGTTCCTGACCAAATACCTGACCGTGTTCCTGACCAACTAGCGTGGGGTGTCGCAGCCGTCTGTGGAGCTCGTGTCTCCCTTGGCACCTATGCATCTTGGTGGGGGAAGGGGCTGGTCGCAAATTGGGAAGCGGATTTTAGCCAGGATCCGCCTTTGTCATGCCTGCATTTATACCTGCCCAGCGACTGCATGCGCTCAATGGTGCGACTTTGCATACTGTTTTCCGTTGATTCCGCTACGACAAAGGAAGCTGCGCGAAGGTGTCAGCTCGCTTGAGCGACTGAGGCTGCGAAATACCTGACCACCTTCCTGACCACGACTCTAATGACCACTGCCACTCTTCCGGCAAAGTCAAAGCTGATTGTTTCGTGATTAAGTTACTGTCCACGTCCTTGACTATGCTCCTGACCAGCTTTGCGTTGATTTTGACGTTATTATGGGAATTGTTGTGCACTATCATAGCTTTCGACATTATCTTGTTTTGTGACTTGGTACCCACTTTGTGCAGTACTCCCTCAAACACCGTTGAGCTGAGCAGTTGCCTTATTGATATTAGGCGGCGCGCGGGCGCGCCCCGACACTGCGAGGCATTTGGGGGGGGGGCGGTCGCGCGCCGAGCCAGCCTCCAGGGATCTCAGCAGCGAGGGGACAGGGGCGTATGGGGACAGGAATGGGTGTAAGGGGACAAGACTTGGGAGAGTGCAAATAGGGGGTGTGACAGGAGGACAGGTATGGCAGCAGCGTGCGGTCCGGGAATGGTCAATCTGGGCTCACATGAGGCACCTGGGCTAGGGCAGCTTGCTTCTGTGACGGGGCCGGCCACGAACTACATTGCATGTAACCTTTCGAGGGTGGGCAGGGTGTTTTCGGTTCATGCTGCACAACATCTTGGTTAGTAATTTGCCCCGCTCCCAGACGCATGCAGCAGCCCCGCAGCAGAGGCGAAAGGGGAACCTTGGGCCGTTGCTGCAGCTGCTGGCACAGATGCTCATCAGGCTGCAGGTAGCGCTCCCAAGCCACCCAGCAGGTGCTGCAGCAGCACCAGTAGCAGACTTCCGGAGCTGTGGCCAGCACCCCCGCTTCCCCCAGAGGAGGCTGATGGGATGTCCAACCTGCTGGTCACCACTCGGGCAGGAGCAGAGCGGTCCGTAGCGCATGTGTAGTACGGTACGATGGTGCCCCACCCACATCAACGGGTCTTTGGCCCACGTCAACCTCCAAACGGCTCTAGGGGCGCTCGCCGCCGCAGCCCTCCCAAGCCAGCAACTGGGCTACGGGAGGTTGGGATTTGCCAACTGGGTGGCACTGCTGGCAATCAGTTGCAGCTTGGAGTCGGATGCCAAAGGGCGATCCGCAAGCTTACACCGTACATGGTGATGTTTGCCTGGGTGCTCGGCTCAGGACAATCTCTGCTGAAGTGCTGAGGTGCTGTGGGAGCTCGGTCTCAATGTGCAAATCTGGTAAACGTAGTTTGAAGCGATACATGTAGGATGGTACGCTTGGTTGCATTGCGCTGTAATATGCTGACCATAGAGTCACGACACAATAGGACTTTCCCAAGGCCGTGAGTCACATGGTTCAAAATAGCAGCGCATGTGGCAAAGCAAGCACTGCCCGTTGTTGCGGTCCACGTTCAGCTGGCCGGCACTAAGGCAGCAGCCAAAGCGCTGTCGAGGATCAGCGCTGTCCAGGGATACTCAAGATGTAACCACTCCGCAGCATTTTAACAGATCGAGCCATAGACGTGAATCACAAGGTACGTAGCATGTACAGTACCCCCCCCCACCCTCCTGCACCAACGCAGCGGCCGGCACGCGGCGTGTGTATTCGCACGCACCCGAGTCAGTTTCGAGTGGTTAAGGCCACAGACGCACAGCAACACTATAGTAACACCCATGACGACACGCGCTGTCCTGCCTTGCATCCCCTGGTCGCATCAGACCACCTCCTCGCACACCCAGGTCCTTCTCAACTCCCTTTCCCCTGCTACTTCCACTACCAAAACGCCAGGCTTCCCTTACCCCTTCCCTTATCCCTTACCCAAAATCGCTGCACTTCTCCTTGTTCCTCACCCAACCAGGGCCACCTGCACTCGACTGCACCCCCCACACCTCCACCTTCCACCGCCACCCACCACCACCACCTCCTCCTCCTCACCACGACCAGCGCGGCCCCCATGTGCCGTTGGTGAGCTTCACGCCGGGCGGCAGCAGCACCCCCGACTGCCACTGCACCGCGTTGGGCGAGGTGGCGTGGCGCTTGCGGTAGCTGGCGGGCAGCACGCCGCGCATGTTGACCTGCGGACATGTGCGCATGCGTGCATGCAGGTGTGCGGGCGGAGGAGGGAGGGAAGGTGAGGAAAGGCGTCAGCCCAAGCCAGGGAGATGGACGGGGCCTAGGATACATACCGGCAGGCCATACATATGGAATGAATCCACCTGTGATAAGCTTGCTTCCCGCTCCCTTCCTCCCTCCTCCTCCCTCCCTCCCTTCCGACCCCACCTCGGGGTTGGCGGGTCCCTCCGTGAACTTGAGCCAGCAGTCGCCCTTGGTGTGGTGGTGCGCGTCCGGCTCGAAGCACACCTCGTCGGGGCAGAAGGCGAAGGCGTTGCAGGGCAGGTGCTTGAAGGGGCCTGGTCGGGGGGGGGGCGGCAAGGATAGAATAAGGACAAGGGGCAGAACCTAAGCAGGGTGTTTCATGCGCGCACAAGCTCGATCGGCATCGCCTATGATCCCCTTCCCAAGTGTGCAAGCGCGCCGCCTGCTGCAACACCTCCCTCCCACGTGAATACGTACGGGCACCAAGAGCACACCTCCCTCCCTCCCGCGCCCGCTCCGCCCGCCTCCCGCTCTCACCCTCCACCACATCCGGCATGTGGTTCTTGCAGTGCTCCGCGCACTCCTCCACCGACTTCTTCTTGTTGTTGATGCCCCAGAACCTAGAGGGGGTGGATGGAAGGGCCGCGCGCATGGGGCAGACGTTAACGGGTGAGTCACCTCACCGTCGTACACCTCACCACCATCGTATCACTTCATCACGCCCCAACGCTACCTCCTATCAATCTTTGCTCCTTCTCCCTTATCGACCATGTCTTCCCACCACCAGTCTCCTCCAATGCCCTCTCCCACCCCTCTTAACCCTTCTACCCTTGCTTCCCTCCCCACCCTCCTCACACCGCTTCACGCCTTATCCCACGACCATTTAGTCGTTTCCTCTCCCTCTCCCTCCCCCCCGCCCTCACACTGCCAGCCCATCGTAGTCCGCCTGCTTCTCGATGTGCACCACCAGGTCCGCCTGCTTGCCGCCCGCAGCGTAGTACTCGGCCCACCAGCGGGCGGTGGGGGAGTCCTCCAGGCACTTGGGAACCACGTGGGAGTAGCTGCGGGCGGGAGGGAGGGAGGGTGGGCAGGCGAGGCGGGCAGGAAGCAGATGAGGAAGGGAACAGTGCAGGGGAAGAGCCCAGAGAGAGGAGGAGGGCGGCCAATGATTGGGCCGGTCATGCACTCCGCTGCCGGGCCCCCGACCCTTGGGACGACCAATGTTTCCCACTTCCCGTCTTTCATTGTAGTGCGCCCCGTGTTCCGTCTTCTACCCTTCCGCCCTTACTACCAGCTCGCTCGGCCCCTGCTCCCTTCGTGCCCTTTTAATTCTATGAGGTTTCTCTCTGACCCGCTCATCGCTGCCCTCCGCTGTCCCCAGCCACCCACCCGTCCACTGCCGGCGAGCCGCACACCCGAGTCATCATGATGCGAGTGGTGTTGGCCAGCCGCTCGGCTGCAGCCGCCTCCTCAGCAGCCTTGGCGGCGGCAGCGGGATCTGACCCGGGGAGGGTGAGGGGGGGTGAGAGAAAGGGAGGGAGGGAGGGGGCAGCCAGTATGGGGGTGAGGGGTGGGGGGGAGTGGGAGCAGCCGCGGCACCCGTGTGGGTGAGGGGCGGGTGGCGACAAGGGAGGCGGGGTAAAATTTGGTAGGAGCGGGTGGTAGCTAAGGAGGCAGAGGAGTGCGGGATAAGGGATGGTTGAAGGAGCGCAGCAAGCAAGCGAGGGCTCGCCCGGTTTGCAGGACGGGAGGTCCTACCTTCCAGCTTGCAGCCGGTGAAGGCGCAGAAGGCCGTCATTTTGTGGTGGTGTTCGAGGGAGAGGTGGAAGTGCGTTGTCCGCAGGATCTGTGGGGAAGGGAGGTCAATGTGTGTGTGTAAGGGCCAGGTATGGAGTACGAACAGGGTGCCCATTCGCGGCACGGCGTGAGGCGTTTTTAAACCTAGCATACTGCCCAACGCCAGTGAATTCATGGTCTTATACCTAGAGAAGAATGTAGCATACTCACATGTTGGAAGTTCATGGTCAGGAATCCGCTGCAAGGAGGTGAAAGGCATACATCGGGATGAGGGGCTTAAGGCAGGGGCCCGTTGAGGCGTCCACGCCATTGAAAACTTTAATGAAGCTTATGACAATTGGTCATGTAGCTAAAGGGGAACACGAAAAGTGCTTACCATGCAAGCGCCAAAAGTCCCACCAAGACCAGCTTCCATGGGTTCTGCGGCTTTTCTGATGCTGGGAACATGATCACAGTGCCCCACTAGGGGATTAACGCTATTGATCACTGTATGGACTGCCTAACTACAGAAGAGCAACATATCACGTATGCCAGCGACCAGGAGGGTTACATATGTCAGCAATACCTTGCAGCAGCGAACACGATGACGGACAAGAGTGTTCGTTATGTTGCGCATGCAAAAACCATGCAGACGGTTGCTCGTACCACCAACTTTGCTGGATTGAAGGCTAGGTGTTGTCGGTCTGCACATCTACGACCCCATATTGCACAGACGTCATAGAGCAGAACTAAAGAATAGGACTGCCTCCTTGGTCCTGACCATCCGATAACGTTTACTCGACGATTAGGCCGAGCCGGCGGGGTAGCACTATGTCAAAGCAGGGTATGAGCATGCTAGCTTATGCTGGCCCCTTTATGGTTTTCATGATAGCCGGCTGGTGGGGTTTGGCAGAGGTCGTGGATAACAAGCGACGATTAAGGGTGAGTCTTCCTTTCTTTCAAGGTGCATGAGCGTGGCGAGGCAGTACGTTAGCTCGCGCCTACTAGTCTTGGGCCTACTTGGGCAAAAGGATGAGGTGGGCGCTCGGCTTTGGCCCCGTCCGGCCCTCATGTCTCCACCGCGGGCGCACCTGCCGTCGCCGTGTTCCTGCTTGGCTAGCGTGGCGTGCGCTTCCTCTTGTGAGCTTAGCCCAGGAGGCGAAGGTTTCACTCCGTACCCGGCTCGTAATCACTCCACAACTGGTGGTAACCACTGCACCCCCTTCCCCTCACCCTACACTCCTCCTTCCTTCCCCTCCCTCTCCTTCTCCTCTTCCCCCCCCCCAGGGCGCCACCCAAGGTTTAGACCTGGTGGAGGAGCTGGACCCCGTGGAGCGCATGCAGCGGCGGTACGGCATCCAACACGGTACGGCAGGCGGCGCGAAGCGGCCAGCTGCTCCCGTGCTGCCCAGCCTAGAGGAGGAGTTGGAGGCGATGAAGCGCAAGGTGGACATCTACGATTTCGACTACAAGCCCGTGCCTCGGCCAGAGGAGGATGAGGAGTAGTGCGGACGGGCGGGCGGGTGCCGTACAGGGGTTGTGTTTGTAGGGACGTGTGCTTGGAGTGATGAGAGGGGGAAAGGATACGTGTTGTCGGTTGGGTTCTTTTCGTGTGTGGGTAAAGAGTCGCAGTGTGTTTATTCCGCGTCACGCTGTGCTTGTTGTGTTTGTGTGAGGACACAGGGAAGTCCTGAGAGAGGCTGTTGCATGGTGGGTATCTGCGTTCCCGGAAAAGGAGCTCACCTGGGGGTGTCGTCGGGAGACCTTGGTTGGATGTTAAGAGGGGCCGCTCTGTCGACTACCGGCCATTGATGCCCAGCGGTTGCCATGTGGAGGGTCCTGTGACAGAGTAGTGGGCATGCGTTAGGGCTATGTTGCCCCTGCCCAGGGCTGTGGCTTGTAGGAGGTGGCCTCCCTACCTGAGGTCCGCTAGACTGGCATGACTGCTCACTCATGACATGACGGCCAGCAAGGGGGCTTGCAATCTGATACGGGGGTTGAACGATGCAGGTTACCCTGCACGCCGGGGTACCAGTATATGGTGCGAAGAAGACGGGCTGGAAAATGGTTGTTCCCGGTGTGCGGACCGGGCCGATGGCTGGTGTGCTTGAGCATGAAGCTTTGCTGCTCTCGGGGCCCTGATGCCGTCAGTTGTGCAGATAGGCATCCTCGCATCCTGGGTATCTGGGTATCCTTGTGCAGATAACAAGTGGAGTTGACTTCTGTGCAATTCAGGACCTCCAGCCATCTGTTCTTTCACATCAACGCCACAGTTATACGGCCACCTGCTAGGCGGCCCGGACGAGAAGGCAGCTGCTTCAATCAGACCACTTAGCCTACCGCTCTCACCCTGCAAACATGCTACACCGAGGCATAACCCGTCTCTCCATCCACGTGTGCCGCCGTCTGTTGACTCACTTGACTCACCAAGCCACCGGTTACCCGTATAACAGTATGTATAACCGTATTCTCAAAACATGGGGTATCGGAAATTTACACGTACAAGTACAATCACACTAGGCTGTTGTCGTACACTTGACAAACATATACACAGGACGGAAAGAGTCCATCAAGCCCCGCTGTAGCCTCCCCTCCAACTCCATCGCCCCCTGTGTCCCCTCCTCAAACCTACCACACCCTCAACCAGGGCCGCTCCCCCTATCCTGCCCCGTGCGGCATCATCCATCCTCCAGCTCCCACCTCACCCCTCAATTCATTACCTAGCAGCCAACCGGGCCCCAGCACCAGGCGCACGCACACAGGAGCGGGGTGGCTTCATGGGGCCCACTACCCTCCCCCCACCCCGCCTGCCTCCCCTCCTCCCCTCACCACTCGCTGGTCAGCAGCTCCCGCAGCCGCTGCTGCCGCTCCGGCCCGAAGCCAATGCTGGTCAGGTAGCCGGAGAAGGAGCCGTACCTGAAGACGGGTGGGGGGTGTGTGCAGGCGGTGAAGCACGTGTGTCATTGCGGCCTCGCCTGCAGCCTCGCCTAAATCGATCAGGAGTCTCAGGAGCAGAGTCTCGCGGCTTGCTTAGGTTTGACATACCGGTGCCGGTGCAGCTCCTGCAAGCCTGCAACGCTGGCAGGCGCTGTGGTACGGTAAAGCCGAGCGCGAGCCCCCTGCACCCTCTTCCCCAGCACCAGCATGCTCAGTCGCATCACCTGCCGTACCAGCCACTGCACCCCCTCGACCTACCCTCCAGCCCCTCCCCGCCCCCCTCCCTCCCCCTACCTCCGTCGCAGGTAGTCCAGTGTGGCCTCCATCACCTCCCGCGGTGCCCGCTCGAACTGGCTGCGGTCCAATCCCGCCAGCTCCTCGCGCCCCTCCAGACCCGCCAGAGCAACTCGGTGGTAGGCGTCAGACCTGTGGGGCAGGGGGAAGGGAGGGAGGGAGGAATGGGAGGGAGGGAGGGGGAGGGAGGGAAAAGAAGAATACCCATATGTGTTGGTTGACAGGAGGGAGGGAGACGAGAGGAGGGATACGGGAAACCGGAGCAAGCTCAGAACCGGATGATCCCGATTGGGCCCGGTGAGTCACGAAAGCACGAGACAACATGCGGGCCACACACACGCGACTGCTCCCAACTGCTTGCTCTTGTTTCCGCTCAACTACACATCCTCCTCTACTCGCAACCCCACCCCCAACTCCACCCGCACCAACACCCCACCCCAGAAGACCTAAAACCTCACCTGGCGTAGTCCTGCACGATCTGCTCCTCGCTGGCTCCCGCCACCGCCAGCACCGCCGCCGCCACCAGCCCCGTGCGGTCTTTACCCGCGCGGCAGAAGAACATCACGCAGTGCCGAGACTCGGCGGCACTCAGCAGCACCTCCAGCACCTGCGGGGTGGAGGGGGGGGAGGAGGAGGAGGCGGCAGCGGCAGATAGCACGACAACTAGAGATAATTATCATGCACCTGTTCCGCCCGCGCCTGGCCAATGCCGCGACAACGCTGGGGATGATGCTGACGGACGGGACATGCTGCGGAATGGGCCCGCGCCCGCTCCCGGGAATGTGGTACGGCCAGTAACGACCCCTGTGGGCCCAAAACCGTGCCCATGTGCTGGGGACCTTACGGTACGGTCCACGCAGCGCGCCACGCACCGCAGGACCTATCCACCCACCCCACCGTACGTCTGTCGTATCTTCCGCTTGACCCGCCCGTACCCACCTGCCGTAACTCCGGTCTCGAGCTCTCCAGCAGCATCTCGTACAGCATGGGCAGTCCGCCGCCGTTGACGTACGGCAGCAGCATCGCCCGGGCTGCTGGCTTGCTGAGCAGCAGGTTGGTCAGCAGGGCGGAGAGGGTGACGGAGGCGGGCAGGCGGGAGGCGAGGGAGAGGTAGTAGCGACCGCGGTCTAGCAGGGAGATGTGGTGCCGTACGGCCGATGTGATGGTGGAGGCGGAGACGGAGGTAGGGTTGCTGTTGCTGGTGGCTGGGGCAGCATCGGATGCTGTTGTTGTTGTTGTAGGCGTTATGGCTGCTGCTGCTGCTGTTGGTTGCGATGGGGAGGAGGGTGCTGGCGGGTCGCTGGGGTCTGTTAGGGCTGCTGCTGCTGCTTCGGTTAGAGTTGCGAGGGCGGGTGATAGTACTGTGGAAGTTACGGGACCGGTCTCAGGCGTGCCGTTACCCTCTACAGAGGCGTCAACAGCATGCTTGCTTGCGGACGGGGCGGCGGCGGCGTCAGGCGGGGAGTCGCTGGTGGCTGGGGGTGGGGGCGGTCCTGTGGCGACGGCGGCTAGCGGGTCGGGCTGCACGTAGAGCTGCGGGATGGGAGGGGGCGAGGCGTAGGGGGGTTCAGAGGAGGAAAGGGTAGGACAGGGCAGCCGTAAGAAGCGGAACGCCCACTTGTTCTCACCCTCCCCGTCCCTCCCTTCCCTCCCCACCTCAGCCCCCACCTGCCCCCGTGTGAGCCAGCCGCGGCGGTAGATCCGCATGGCGGTCGCCCGCATGAGCGCAGAGCCCGGGTCGTCCTCCTGGATCTCCTCGCCCGCACGCAGGTCGATCTGGCGGGGGGGAGGAGGGAGGCGGAGGGGGGCGGATGGGGAGGACATGAAGGCGCTGGGAGATGGGGGGGGGGGGGCAGCAGCAGCAAGTGCATGGCTCACGAGCGGGTTGCTGCTCTGCGCTGCAACTGCAGGGAGCAGCACGGTGCGCAGAAAGGCAGCAGGAGGGGCAGCAGTGGCTAAAGTCTCATGTGTGTGAGGTACCGTAGCATGAGGTCGCGATCCCCCGCACACCATGCTCACTCCCGCAATCCAAGCCCCATATCCCCCCCCACATGGTCCTGCCCCAACCGCCCCGCCCTCACTCCCCCCCCCCGGGCTCACCAGGTCCCGCACCCTCAGCTCCCGAAGCAGCCAGTCCGCCACCTCGGGCGGAGCGGAGGAGGGGTTGGCGCAGCGGATGAGGCGGCCTGGAAAGGTGGGGAAGGAGACGCGGATAGGGGAGGAGATGTGGTGGCAACGGGGCGGCGGGCTGCGAAGGTGTATGAACGACGGTAGTGCGCGGGGACGAGATAGGGCAGAGGGAGTGCGGGTTGAGGGCGGGAGAGGGGCCGACTCAGCCCACAACGATCTTCACTGACAACAGGCTCCCTGCAGCCATCAGTTCGCCCCACACTCCGCCCCACACCCCGCCTCCCCACTCCGCTCCCCACTCCGCTCCCCACTCCGCTCCCCTCTCCGCTCCCCACTCCGCTCCCCTCTCCGCTCCCCACTCCGCTCCCCTCTCCGCTCCCCACTCCGCTCCCCACTCCGCCCGCTCCTCACAGCACCTGGCGGTATGGCTGGGAAGGCCTCATGCAGGTCGCGGGCGTTGGGCAGCCCCTCCCGCAGCCGCTGGGCTATCGTGCTGCTGGTGCTGGTGGTTGCGGGGGTGGGGAGCTGGTGGGGCATGGCGGCGCAGCAGGCGCAGCGCTGGAGTCCGGCGCGAGAGCGGCCTGGGTGGGGGCAGGGAGGTAAGGAAGGGTGAGGGCAGGGAGGAAGGGGGGGAGAGAGGGGCGCGGTTATGTGAGGTAGGAGAGGGGGTGGATAAGGAGTAGGTGGGGAGTGGGCGGTAGGCGTTTAGGAGCCCAGGGTGGCGTGAAGGTGCCGGTGGTGAATGTGCTAAATAAAGGTTGAGTTTAAGGAAAAGTAGAGCTTAAGGCTTCTTACCGCTTCCGTGTCTTGTTGCTGGGCGCAGAAGGCGCATTACACTGCTGACCGCAGTGCCTAGCAGCTCAGTGTTAGAGCTCCGTGCCCTTTGCACGATTTGTTATCTCCTGGTCACTTGTTGGATAGATCTAAAGCACAGAAGTGGTAAATGCGTCGTTCGGAGACCGCAAATGACGTGTCGTGGCACGTTCCTGTGCCGAAGGGGCTGCTTAAAAGAAGCCTCTGTGGCGTCAAAGTGTCTAGCGCAAATGCCAGAAACAAATGTTTACGGTATAATGAAGGTTCGCCCAATGCCACTGTCGGGTGTCCACGTCTCTTCAGATTTTATTACAGGTTGCCTAACAGCTTGACATTACAACTTGCAGATGCGATATCTATGGTTAGTGCTCTTCTCATGAGCAATGCGCTTACTAAAGCCTGCGTGCGTCATCGTCCGTTATTTGCGACGAAAGTATAGCTGAAACTGATCGGCCAAGGGCTCTCTAAAGGGTAATCAGTGCTGTTGCCTAAGACGACAGGCAACGGTCACAAATTCGGTATGCGCGATTGCACACCAGCCCTAGCTGGGCATGCAGGCCAACGCAGGAGATCAACACCAAAATAACCCTCAAACCCACATGCGATCTGAACATGTCGTGCACCTCCTGATGGGCTCCCTGGCGCACGTAGACTCTGGTTTGAGGATACCTAGTGTGTCTATCCCTGTTGGCCATGCCATCCATCCATGCCACTTGTTACAGAGCCTGGCCTGTGAGCAAACATTTTGGCCCTTTTCTTACAAAAGGGTGTTGTCGAACCAGGTAGTACCTCTCTGTCTGACGGGCGGCCAACTCAGTTAATTCGTTTTGCAGCTTGCAGTTTGCAGCTGCTGTCGCAAGAGCCTTCGTAAGGCCGCTTCCGAGCCGATAAGCAGCCCTGAAAGAACTTGGCTCAATACTCGAACGCGGGCTGCTGCTCTTCTAAGGGGGAGAAATCTGCAACATCCCCGCGAACCTCCTCTGAAGTGAACGCGTGTCCCCCACAAACGCTTAGAACTGCACAAAAGCCAAATGCGGTGGTGTTGCACCCCATTCGGTAGCTGAAAAGCGTGAATGACTAGATGTCGTACGCGCACGAGCTGATGCCTCGTCCTCAGCACGAACGCACGCAAATGTTGGCCTTGCAAAAGACAAATCCTAATGTAAGCTAGCCTCCGCTGGCAATTGCCACACGTGTGGCTTGCGATGGTTGCTTACAATCACGACCTGTAGGACGAATTCCGAGGGAACTATACGCATATCGAATAAACCTGCGCAATTCACGCAATTAATCACAATGACAAATGCAGATTAAGTGTACAAACCAAGCAGCGCCCGGCTTGCTGCAGCCCGTACCCTCATGACGTGACAGTTACCAGCCCGGCGGGTCCTTTCGCCATGCCTCGCGAAACCGAAACCTCAGGGCCTTGGGGGGAAGCTGAACCCCAAGCTGAGCCCCACCCGTCGCAGCCTCAACACTCAAAGCCTTTCCCAGGCATTCCTCGGCCACCCCCGCCTGCCCCGCCCCAGGAGCAATGCATCCGCAGCCAGCCACATCGCCCAGCACCCAGTGCCCTCGCACGCATGCAAACAACAGCAGCACCACCACCACCACCACCACCACGACCAGCAAAAGCGGCATGGTCAGGCGGCCCACCCGCGTCCCTCTTCCCAGCCGGGGACCCCAACCGCAACCCCGCCACCCCCTCCCAGGGCTTCCAGCTTCCCACCTCCCACCATCGCCCACTCGCCAACCTCACGAAGCAAGGCCCCGGCCCACCACCACCACCACCAGCACTACCCCAGCCACATGCGGCCGCCGGCAGCACCGCCGGGCATGCAGCCGATACCGGTAACCCCCGTCGGGCCCCGGCTAAAGATATTTTCGCCGGCAGTATCGCGGGCGGTAGAGCTGCTGGCAGTGGCCCAGGACTACCGCCGGGCGACATCATCAATGGCATTGGAGGTTACGGAGCGGGAGACGCTAGGATGGGACAGCCGGCGGCGTGCGGGGCGGCAGCCGGCAACCCGGCTCTGCGCCCCGAGCGGCTGCTGGCTCAGGCGCGCCGCAGCCCCGCCGACCCCACCACCGGGAGGGTCCGCTGCCGCGCTTGCGGCCGAGCGTACGGCAGCTACCAGCAGCTGGGGCAGCACCTGGGGGCGGCGCATGGCGGGCTGAACAGCGAGGACGCCAAGTTCCTGCAGCTGAGGAAGCAGCAGGAGCAGCAACAACGGCACCAGCACATGCAGCACGCGCAGCAGCAACAGCAGCAGCAGCTGGGGTGGGCTGTTGGTGCGGCAGGGCAGTCAGGAGCCGCCGCAGCAGCACCAGCAGTACCAGCAGCAGCACCCATGCTGGGGCCCTCAGCCCAGGGGGCTCAGCCAAGGTCCTTCTGGTGTCCGCAACCGCTGCTGCATGCGCCGCTGCACAGCGGCGTGCCGGGGGTGGGGATACAAGCAGTACTGGCGGCTCCTGCCTACCCCGCCTTGTCCCGGGAAGGTAGAGGAGCTGCGGTAGCGCCGTTGCCGGTACCAGCTGCGATACTGCCGTTACCACATGCGGTGTTCCTTGCACCCTCGCACGCCTGGCTGGAGCCTCAACACCCTCCGCATCCGCCGCATCCGCCGCCGCAGCCGCTAGTGCATGTCCCACCACCACCACCTGGTGAGGCGCAACCCCATCAGCACCCGCACTTCCCAACACAGCCTGGGCCCATGCGACCTGCCACAGCGGGACCGCCTCCGTTGCCGCCACCGCAGCAGCAGCGACAACAGACCGACCCATGGGTCCGAGCGCAGCCAGCGACGCATGCTGCTGGCAACGTGGCGCCTGCGCCTGCCTGGGGCGCCAGCGGGGCTCTGGGCAGGTGGGCATCGGTGGTAGCCTGCGGCGGGGGCGCCGGCAGCGGCAGCAGTCCCCATGCAGACAGGTCCGCTGCTGCTGCTGGCCACCAGCATCCGCAGCAGGGCCCCTCCGCGTCCCATGGCCCGGTAAGCTCCGCTATGGCGCCCCTTCCCGCAGCGCACCGGACCGCCACCGCCGCTGCTGCCGCTGCTGCTGCTGCTCCTGCTGGAACCGCTCCCTCTACTACCCCATCTGCTGCCGGCTGGGGTGCCGCTGCTGCTGCCTCCAACAGGCCACCGGCTGCCCCCGTCAAGCGAAGCAAGCGACCGATCACCCTTGCCGACCTGCTCGCCTCCGCCTCCGCATCCTCCGCCTCCGCAGCAGCGCCTACCACCACAGCGCTGCCCCGTCACGCAGCTGCACCTCACGCCGCCACGGCCCCAGCTGCCCCGCACCCGCACCGCCCTCCTCAGCTGCTACTACGAGTCAGTAACGCCCTGCGGCTGGTCGCCAAGCCCCCGGCAGCTGCGGCATGCGGTAAAACCCAGCACTCAGCGCCCAAATCCGCTGGCGCCTACACCCGCAGCACTACTTCAGCCGCAGCAGCCCCTCCCGCTGCTCCTGCTGCAGCTGCTGCCCGTACTCGCCCCTCTAAGAAGCGACTACGCCTGACCGCTGAAGGCACCCCGGTGCCGCCCCGCAAGAAGCCGCCCAGCCGCACCAAGCGCATCATCCTGCGCGGCCGAGCCAGCCGAGCCATGGCGGAGGCTGCCGTACGGTTCCAGGAGGCCCGCGTGTCGTACAACGCCGTACGGCAGGTGTTCGACTCGTTGGCTGCGGAGCTGAGGAGTGTCAGGCAGCAGGGGAGCGGGGATGGTGTCGTGGCTGGGACATGTGCAAACGTTACCCCTGGAGGCCTTGAGCTGGGAGTGCCTGAGCAACGTGACGAACGGTGCGACATGGGTAGCTCGGCAGGAGTGCGAGAGAAGGATGAGGAGGCGGCCAACGCTGCGGGTGTTGCAAGCAGAGGTGGCCCAGAGGTGCCAGCAGCGACCATCCAGGCCGGTATCGCCGCATCAGTGGCCTGTGTGCCCCTTGAGCTGCGGCCACAGCTGCTGGAGCTGGCGATGTCACGGGTGAGGCCGCGGCTGGAAGCGACCCATGGGTCACTGATGGCGCGGCGAGAGGCCTACGTGGCCAGGATCAAGCAGTATGCGCAGGCAAGTGTTCCGATGGGGGAAGAGGTTAAGAGCGTTCAGGTGAACTGGTCGGGGTGATGTCAGGGGTCCCTTGGTCTCTATTATCACATTTATCAGCCCCTGTAGGCCTAAACCTGTACTTGGAGGTTCCTTCTCTCCTTTTCTTTCAATCCCACTGCGACCATTCCCATACAGACGCCTCCCTCCCACCATGTGGCTCCCCACCCATGCAGGCTCATCGCCAACCGGAGCCAGACCAGCAGCAGCTGGAGCAGCTGGCGCCCTGCGACCCCCTGCCGCCGCCACCTGAAGCCTCACCCCCTGCTTCTGCTGCTACTGCTGCTGATGCGGCTGCTGCTCCTCCTGTTGCTGCGGGTGCCGATACCAGTCTTGACGCTTCGCCCACTTGCCCAGTTACAGTAGGGGAGTCTGGAGAGGCCGCGGCAGGCCAGCAGGGCGGCCTGGCTGCTGGGGTCCTAGCTGTGGAGGCAGCAGCAGGGGAGGCAGCATGTATCGATACGGATGAAGGCGCGGATAGACATGCGTGGGTGGAGTGCTGGGCGCCTGTTGTGGTGGCGCCGGCGGAGGCACTGGAGGCGGCAGCAGGTGCAGCTCTGGGAGGAGGGGGAGGACTCCACCAGGGTGAAGAGGAGAAGAGAGGCGGCGGGGAGGGGGACCCCTTACCGGTGTACTCCACCCCACCAGGCGGCTGCCCCTCCGCCGGCCAGCAGCAGCTCCAGGACCTCCCCCCACAGCGCTGGACGGCTGCGCTGCGCCTGCCCCGCACTCTGTACGGCAGCCAGCAGGGCAGCTGCTCCTCATCAGCCACCTCCTCAGCCGCCGCCAGCCCCCGTACCGCCACCCCACAGCGCCCGCAGCCGCAGCAGCAGCCCCTGCAGCAGCCCTCGCAGCCGCAACAGCAGCAGCCCCCGCCGCAGCAGCAGCCCCCGCAGCAGCAGGCCCGGCAGCGCTCCCGACTCGCTGCGGAGTCCCTCGCAGCTCCCCCCGTGGCAGCACGCCCCTCGTCACAGCAGCAGCAGCAGCCGCAGGTGAAGGGAGGTGGTGGAAAGGGTGTGGCGGTAGGGGCAGGTGCCGCCGCCGCTGCTGCCGCCGCACCCTGCACAGCCACCGCCGCCTCCTCGCTTCCCGCCTGGCTGCAAGGGTCTTCCTCATCGGACGAGGAGGAGAATGAGGAGGAGGATGGTAATGAGAAGGGCCTCATCCCTGGTGGCGGCAAAGCAGGTGGAGCAGGCGAGGCAGCGATGCCTGCCTGGCTCACGACTTGCGGCGGCGGAGGCGGGGGTGAGTCTGCAAGCCCCTGCGTTCAGGACACAACGCCGCCGCCAGGGGAGGCGGTTACCGCTACACTTGCAGGTGGTGTGGCGGTTGTTGCTGCGGCGGCGGCGACGGGTGGTGGGTCAAAGCTGCCCTCCCAGCCCACTGTAAACCGGGTAGTGGTGACCAACAACACAGCAGCAGCGGCGGCGATGGGGAGAGCGGCTGTGGCGGTCCAGCCGCTCTCCCGACTCGCGGCGGACACCCTGGCTCCCCTGGCAGCAGCCCGACCCTCGTCACAGAAGCAACAGAAGCAGCAGCAGGTGGAGCGAGGAGGGGGGAAGTGCGTGGCTGTGGGGGCAGGTACCGCCCCTGCCGGCGGAACGGCAACCGCCTCCTCCTCGCTTCCCGCCTGGCTGCAAGGGTCTTCCTCATCGGACGAGGACGAGAGTGAGGAGGAGGACGGTGAGGAGAAGGGCCTCATCCCTGGTGGCGGCAAAGCAGAAGGAGCTGGCAAGGCAACCATGCCTGCCTGGCTCACGACTTGCGGCGGCGGGGGCGAAAAGTCTGCAAGCCTCCGCGTCAACGACACAGCGCCGCCGGCAGCGAAGGCGGTTTCCGCTACAGTTGCTGGTAGTACGGCGATTGCTGCTGCGGGGGCGGTGACAACGGCGGCGGTGAAGACTCAGCCAGCTGAAGCGGCGGCGGCGGTGGAGGTGCAGCCAGCGGTAGTCGCGGCGGCGACGACGGGTGGTGGGACAAAGCCGCCCTCCCAGCCCACTGTAGACCAGGCCGTGGGGACCAACAACACAGCAGCAGCGGCGGCGGTGGGGAGGCCGACGGCAGCGGTGGCGGTGGCGGCTAGTAGTGGTGTGGCCCAAGCGCGGGAGCAGCTGCCCTGGTGGGCGGCTGACGGCGACGACTGCAGCAGCAGCGATGATGATGACGACTGGGCCGGCAGCGGGGCAGGTGGGATGATGCGTGGGGGGTTTGAGGACGGGTGCTCGCCGCAGTTTGTGTCTAGCAACGTCCGCAACGGAACCCTGCTTGAAACGCCTACCACCTGCTCTACGGCACTCACCAGATCCCATTACCCATATTACCCCATTACCATCTTTACACCAATCTGCGCCTCACACCCTCCCTTCCTCCCATTCTCTGTCCGTTCTCATTTAACACATCGGGTACTCTTCCTCCCTCCCTCCGCTCCGGTCTCTCAGCCCCAGGCGGCTGGACGGACATGCTAGCCCGCTGGAGCAGCCAGGTGGCGGCGGCCAGTCGGGCCAGCTGCGGTCGCTCCGTGGCGCTGCCGATCTTCACTCGCACCGCCAGCGGGGTGGCGGCGGAGGGAGCCATGTGGCGCACATCCGCCAGCCACCCATTCGTGCCGGCGGCGGCGGTGGCGACGGCGACGGCAGGAGCAGGGGCAGGCGGCGCTGCTGCTAAGAGGTGTGCCAAGGCTGCAAGCGCCACAGCGGCAGCCGCCGCTGTCAAAGGTGACGGCGGCGGTGGCGGTGGAGGTGGCGGTGCAGGTTTGGAGCGGTTGAAGGGCAGCGATGCGAAAGGCTGCGGTGCTAAAGGCGGTGGCAAGGGAGGCACCTGCCAGACTGCGAGCGGCAGCAGCGGCAGCGGCAGCAGCAACAGTGGTGCAGCTGGAGGCAGTAGCGGTGTACTGCCCGCCCCGCATGCTGCAGCGACTGCCAGCAGCAGGAGCAGCAGCAGCAGCGGTGCGGCGGGAAGCGGCAGTAGCACACCGCCTGCTCAACAGCGTCCTGCAGCCGTCGCCTCGCCCGCCCCAGCCTCCACAGCAGGTGCCGCTGCCGCTGCGGCTCCCTCCTCAACATCATTACCACCACCACAGGCACAGCCCGCTCCTGCTCCTGCAGCGGAGGCGGCAAAGCCCAGCTCATGGCCGCAGCCGCTGGGGGCGCATGAGGCCGGCTGCAAAGAGGATGGCGGCAAAGAGGCAGGTGGCAGTAGCAGCAGCAGCAGCAGCAGCAGTAGCACTGATAACGACAGTGAGGATGATGACGAGTACGACACCACATCGTCAACACGTGTCGTGCAAGTTGACGTACTGGCCAAGTGGATGGCGTCGGCGCGCCTGCCCAAGGCCTTGAATGCGGGATTCTTCCGGAAGTACCAACAACAGCAGCAGCAACAACAGCAGCGAGAGTTTCAGCAACAGCAGCAGCAGCAACCGCAGCGGCAACAACAGTGCCAGCAGAGGGTCCTCCCAGCACAGCCGCAAGGCGGAGCCGCTGCTGCCTCGGGTGCTAGGCAAGGCGGCAGTAGAAGTGGCGACGGGTGCCTTCCGCGCGTAGGGATGGTGGCGGAGTCCTCCGCTGCCATCGCCGCCTCCGTCCCCTCAACCTCAGCCTCAGCCTCAGCGGACGGAGGTCCCGTGGCTCCCGTGCGCCCCGCCATCAAAGTCCTCAACCGGGCGCTGCCCGGAGCCATCGCACCGCTGACGCTGTCCTCACAACCGCCGTCACAGCAGCAGCAGCAGCAGCAGCAGCAGCAGCAGCAGCAGCAGCAGCAGCAGAGCCGGCGGGGCGCACCCGCACCTCAGCAGCCGCGGCCCTTGCAAGCACACCAACCACAAGGACAAGCTCCTGTCCCAGCGACACCGACCGGGACCTCGACGGCGGCACCAGCACTCGCTGCGCCCTCGCGGCCCCCGGCAGCTGCTGCCCCACCGCCACCCGCTGCGACCCGAGCACCTGACACGGCGGCAGCAGCAGCGCCACCGCAACCGTCAGCGTTGCAACCACCGCCACCCGCCGTCAACCCAGCCCAGCACCCTGCCCCAGCTGCCTCATCACAAGCCCCCCCCGGCATCAGCTCCCCCTCCTCGTCCTCCTCCCGCCACAAGGCCCCCGTGAGGCCCTGCCTGCTCACACGGGCTGGCAGGGTGGGCGGCGGCGGCGAGGTGGGGACCGCAGTACCGGTAGCAGCAGCAGGCAAGGCGCAGGCAGCAGCAGCTGCAGCAGCCGTACAGCCCGCTGTGTCCAGACAGGCCGCCACCTCCGCCTCCACCGCTTGTACGGCAGCTGCTGCATGTGAGACGTCTGGTGCGCCAGACCTCTCCAGTCAGCAGCCGTCACAATCAGGGGTGCAGGATAAAGCGCAGCAGCAGGGGAAGCAGGAGCAGCAGCAGGTGCAGCAGCAGCTAGGGGTGGCGGAGGTGGCGGTGCCCGAGGAGTTCCAGTGCGACCTGTGCGGCGTGAGCTGCAACAGCGGGGTGACGTGGCAGCAGCACTGCGCCAGCAGGAAGCATTTGGCGCGGTCGGCAGCGGCTGCACGGGCGGCGGCGAGGTGGGTGTGGACCGGGGGGTCAAAGACCATACCAAACCATAGGAGACCACAAGTGAGGGCAAAGCAATGGGGGTAGGAGTTGGCAGTTGGAGTTGGAGTTGGGGGGGAGGTGCGTAGCAGGGAAGAGTGTGCCATGTATGCCGTTTGTGCGCTACTTGGAGGGCTTACTCTTGCCAGGAAAGGCATCGCCTGCGAGGCGGGGAGCGAGATTGCAGCAAGTGCTGATACACCCCTCACCCACATGCCACCTCGCTTACCCCCGCAAACCCAACCTCACCCCTCACCCTGCAGTGCCCCGCAGCTCCCACCATCAGCCAGCCCCTCAGCCGCCGCACCCTCCGCCGGCCTGCAAGTCCCACACCAGCCCCCCTCGACACCAGCCCCCTCACCCGCACCATTATCCACAGCCTCCGCCTCCAAGCCCCTCCCCGCTTCCCCCCCCACCACCCTCAGCTCCTCCGCCCCAGCAGCAGCCCCCCCGAGCCCCACCGCCGCGGTCACTGCTGCTGCCTGTGATGCGCCCGCCTGCTGCCTCCCCTCCGACCGCCCCCATGTGCCCGCCCTATCCCTTACCTGCTACCTGTGCCGGGTCACCTGCAACAGCGCCCAGGCCCTGCAGCAGCACCTGGCCTGCCGCCGCCACCTCAACCGGGCAGCCAGGCAGCTGCTGCGAACTGCCATGGCCGCCGAGCGAGCTGGGGAAGCGCCAGGAGGAGCGGCAGGAGGAGCGGCAGCAGCAGGAGCAGGAGGGCAGATTGCGGACGGGCAAAGCCAGCGGGAACAGCAGCACGAAGACGCACGGCAGCAGCAGCAGCACGGGCAGCAGCAGGCGACTGGGCCGGCTGAGGAGGTGCATGAGGAGGAGGAGGAGCGAGAAGCGTCAGCACCGACCTCGGTAGTTGAATCGGTCCAGCAGCTAGGAGGACCCGACCCGGCTGTCGGCAGGTCGGCAGCAGCAGCTGCCGCTGCGGCCAGTGCACGCTCCAGCGCCGGCTGCGGTGGCGGCGGCAACGGTGGTGGCAGCAGCTGCCCGGGCGGGCGCCCCGCTGCCGCCCACCTCGTTACCCATCGGCTGTGTCGCCAGGTGTTGAGCGGCGAGCTAGATGGTGCGGTAGGGGAGGCGCTGACACGCATCCGGGGCTTCCAGGAGAGGGCCATGGCGAAGAATGCGGTCAAGGTGGGTGGGCAGATGGGAAGGGCTGTTTGCTTCCTCCCCACACTCTCCTCTCCTCCACAACCCGCACCTCATGCTGCTGCTCACCTCTCCCCCACCTCACCTCACCTCACCTCCCCCAGGCTGGCGCGCACCGCTGGTACGTGTTGGGTCTGCGGGAGGTGGCTCGGGCGGTGCGAGGCCGCAGGGCGCGGTGTGTGGTGCTGGCGCCAAACATCGAGGAGGGGGAGGAGCCAGCGGCGGGGGAGGCGGGTGGCTGCGAGGGCGGTCTGGACGCCACTCTGCAGACCATACTTGACATGTGGGTGTGCGGGGGTGTGCACAGGGGGTTGGGATGGTATTATGCACCGGGGTTGGTGAGGCATGGCTGGAGTATGGGCTGCCGGCGGTGTGCGGTGAGCTATGGAGGGCTGATGGCTTGAGAGGGTGATAGGGTACGGCAGCGGAGAGGTGGGGAAGCGGGGGATGTGAGGGGTCACCCTGTGTACTGGTTTGCGCCCCCCTACAACCCTTTTCCTGCCTCCTCTTTCGCCAGCCTGAGCAACACCCCCCCGCTCGCTCCTCTTCTCCTCACTCCTCTTTAGCTCGCTCATCTTCTCCTGCCTCCCAACCCGTCTCTTGCCGCCCCAGGTGCGAGCAGCAAGGCACCACCGTGGTGTTCGCGCTCAGTCGCAAGGCCCTGGGCAAGCTGTACGGCAGCAGGAAACGCATCAGCGCAGTTGCCGTACTGGAGCTCAACGGAATCCACGAGGCACATGCGCACATCGTCCAGCTGGTACGGCAGGCGCGGGAGCAGTGGCGGGCGGCGCAACACGCGGCCGGCGGGGAGGTCACCCTTGCTGGTGCAGTTGAGCCCACCGCCGCCGCCACGCCGCCTGCTGCCGCCGCCGCTACGCCGTCTGCTGCCGCCGCCGCCACGCCGCCTGCTGCCGACGCCGCTGTAGCAGCTGCTGCTGCTGCTAGCGGCGGCGGTGGTGCGGCGGCTTCTTTGGGGGTTATGGCGGCAGACCGTCGTACTCCGCAGGTTGGCGCCCCCGCTGGTATGGCTTCTGTAGCGCGGGTGGCAGCACCAGTGGCAGTGATACAGGCGGCCTTAACCGCAGTGGCGGAAGGGCGGCAGCGGGGTGCTGCGGCTGCAGGTGTGGCGGGGCTAGCGGCGGTGGCAGGGCCCCTGCTAGGTGCAGGGGTCCCGGATGGGAACATGCAGGGGGGAGGTGGTGGAGGCGGTGGCGGTGGTGGTGGTGGAGACAGCGTTGGTCGCGGCGTTAGGTCGCTGAATGCGGCAGCGCCCGCCTTCGTGCCTCGGGGCTTCACTTCGAGCTGAGAGTTAGACTTGGCTGTGGGTACATGCGGGCTGAACATGGGGGTCCGCAGGCCACCGCTGCCACCTAACTACCTACCTGAAACCACTTAACTACCTAACAAAATGCTTGATAGGGGTCCTCCAAGTTGAGGAAGAGCACGGGCTAAGATAGCTCAGGCTAGGAGCTCTGAAGCAATGTGAAGACCGTAATAATTAGTATGGTAGTATTGGATGCTGACTCGGCACTTAGGCGCCTGGTGGTAATGGTGTGGCGTTGTCGCCTCTTCGCTGATGAGATGAATGGCCGTCACGGTGGGGTCTCAAGGCAACAACACAGATGCACGCGGGGTGAGGGCCGAGGGGCGCTGTAGACTCGCCGCCGTCTTCTGAAAGCTGCTGCCAGCCATTTGTTAAACACTTCTTGAACCTAGAACCACTATCGGTTCACATTACTAGCCAGTGTGGCACGATATACTTAGCCAGTGTGGCACACGAGCACTGTATCTCTGTTGCCCAAGGTGACCAAGTTTCCACTGGACAACAAAGAACGCCTTTTCCTACAAGTTTTGCTTCATGGCGGGTAGACGGGTAGCGGGTAGACGCATGCATTGTCATGTACTCTTTATCTGAAGATGTCTGCTCTATGCGACTACTATCCGGCTTTATAGGTGGCTTCACCACAATGGTCGGGCCAGCTCCACATTGCGGGAGTCCTGAAGACTGCAGCAGCAGTTACAGTTTACAGTTACAGTCTGTACGCGTGTACAGTGTGTCCGTACGAGCCAGGGGAGCAGCATTGTGACTGGCCAGGGGCGAGCCGGCTGGGAGAGGGCCCTGCATAACGGTACTACCAACTCTTTGAGGGCATCTTGCGTACGCCTGCCACAACAACGGTAGCTAGGGAGCTGGACTTGTAAGGTTGTAAGCAGGGGCTGGGGGGGCACCGGTAACTGCTGCGCGTCACTCTGTGCAGCTGCTCCATGGAGCCAGCGGCGTCCGCCGGACCGCATGCCCTAAGACTACAAATCGTACAGGAACGGGATGCCGGTATTAATACCGCTTGTTGCCCTTGTTGCGGGACCGAAGATGGCCGCTGCCCAAGCCTCAGGAAACGGACGGTCTGGCCCGGCCCCATTCCTAGTCTGTCGTCCGTTGGGTTGGCCGAGGCCTCTGTTGCAGCCTGTGAACCAGCTACGTGCGTTGGATTGTCATGGAGAGAAATGCACGTTGAGGGAATAGAAGGTGTGCGGCAAGACCTTGTTTCTGGACCCTGCCTGATTGACAGCCCGTTGACAGCCCAATGAAAGCTGCCTTAGTAGTCGAAATGCAGTTGGACCGACGAGCGGCGCAAGGTAGGCACGAGGCATGTTGGAAATAAGCCATTGTGGTGACTAGCAAAGAGTGGCTTTGTATGCGTCGCCTTCTGCTTGTTGCTGCGCGAAGTCCGGCGTCCGGTTCGTTGGTTACCCGAAGACAACGCTCATCGGTTTGGCAGTTGCTTGCCTCGACGCGACCTTGTCGCCTCAAGGCGTCCACCGGAGCATCAATTAGCTTGTTTCTCATGATTCACATTTACTGCTTTGGCCCGCCTGTAATAGCGAAGTAAGCTTGACAACACTCGGCTGACTGCTGGCTGCAGCTGCAGCGCGACATTATTATGGCCTAGCAAGAGCAGCACCATGACATAGGAATCAAATTTGTCAATAATACAGCTAAAACATGATGCATATGTAGCACGCCTGACATGGAGGGTCGAACCGAGCCGCTAAAGACTCTTTATGCACCTGCCGCTGCTGTTGCGGTTGCTGCGGTTGCTGCGCCCTCCTCTGCCGCTGCTGCTGGCGGCCTGGTGTCCCTGCCCGCCCCGCTTCTTGAGCGCGTGCTGGCTGAGGCGGGCTGCGGGGCGGCCGGGGCGGTGGCCGCCTGCAGCGCCCTCCACGCCGCCTGGCAGGCCGCCCTGCGCTCCCCCCAGGGCGTCAGCCGCTACCTGATAGCGCGGTACGGCAGCAGCCTCGCAGCCCAGCACGTGTACACCTGCCCGGGGCTGCTGAAGCACATGCTCGGCCGCGTCCCCAAAGCACGCCACGGCACGGTCATCCTCTCCTTGCTGGCTGCGCTAGATGCCCTCCAACCCACCGACGCACCGGTAGCCGGTGCAGACGCAGCTGCCGCGGCTGCCTCCAAGTGGCCTCATCTGCGGCCCGCTAGCAGCATGACACGTGTGCTGTCGCGCGCTGCAGCCGCGGGGCACCTGCAAGTGGTGCGGCGGCTGCTGGCCCTCGGAGTCCCTGTCACACGGCAGGCGGTGCTGGCAGCGGCAGTGCACGGCCAGCCCCAGCCGCTGCGGGAGCTGCTCGTGGCGCTGGCGGCAGAGCAGCAGCGGCGCACGGTCCGACGGGCTGAAGACTGCGATGGAGAAAGCACTGCTGGCGACAACCGTTCCTCCTCCTCCTCCTCCGTCTCCTCCGCACCCCTGTCATCGTCTTCTTCAGACCTGCACGGCGAGCTCGCTGCTGCTGAAGCTGCTGGTCGTGTCATAGCGACGGTCGCCTCCGCGGCGCTCGGACCCAGTGCCACGCTGGGTCATGCGGAGGTGCTGCGGGTGCTGCTGGCGGCCGGTGCAGACCCGCGCTATCAGGACAGCTCGGCGCTGCGGTGTGCTGCGATGGGGTGGGTGGTCACGAAACGGCTGAATGGGTGGTCACGGTGGTCAGCTGCAAAGGGAACGATCGGGGTGCTGGGCTTCTGTGTTCATGCATGGTTCCAATCGGTAACCATGCTTCTTTGCTTCTTTGCAACCCGGTTGTTAGCTGTTATAGCAACCTTTTCGGGCGCCGTTGTTGGTTTGTAGCGGTCATTCAAACTACCGGTAGGCGGTCAATGCGTGGCTCATACCTCGCTTCATTTCTGTCCGCGTGCTGCCGCATCTTCTGCTGCAGGGATGACGCGGAGGCGGTGGCGTTGCTGATCTCCGCCGGCTCGGACGTCACCGCTCTAGACAATCGCGCCTTACTTATCGCCGCCAATTACGGATCCGAGAAGGCAGTACGGCTGCTGCTTGCGGCCGGGGCCGACGCCCGTGCCCGTGACAGCAGCGCCCTTTGCGTCGCCAGCCAGTACGGACACGACTCCATTGTACGGATGCTGCTGGCGGCGGGAGCTGACCCACGGACCCGTGGGAGCTGGGCTCTGTACCAGGCCGCCAAGTGGGGGCATCTGCGGGTGGTGGGGCTGCTGCTGAGTGCTGGGGCGGACCCCTTGGCCTGCGGGGGCGCGGCACTGATGCTGGCGGCAAGCGGCGGCCACTTGGCGGTGGTGGGGGCGCTGCAGGAGGCCGCCAGGTACCCCCAGGATGTGAAACGCATGGCGCTGAAGGCGGCGGTGGAGCAGCGGCACTGCGAAACGGCTCAGATGTTGGCAGGTGCGGGCGCCTTTGCGGGCTGGGTGTACCGTCCGCCGCTGCGGCCGCTGCAGCCGTTTGTCTGGTGGTGTGGTCGCATGGGGTTGCGGGCCGGGGCGGCGGCGGCGGCGGCGGTGGGGATGCTGTGGTTGCTGAGCAGCGGGGCGGGGCTGGCGGGGGTGCAGTGGGTGGGGAGGCCCGAGGGGTGGCTGATGGTGGTGGTGGTGCTAGGTGCGGTGTTGGGGAGGCTGGGGTGGGAGGCGTACTGGGGCATGTGAGACCAACGGGTCCCGGACGCCTCCGGAGGTGGCGGGAATGCGAGAGTACGAGCACCTTTCTTATCATGGGTGCAGAGTGACTAGGGTTGTCCGACAGCTTTCGCTGAGCACAGCTACAGCGTCTGGTGGCGTGGATACCGTGCGAGATGGCAGGAAGGATAGGCATCGGCGTCTTTTTGC